ATATGGCACATTTTGAGTAGCTCTGACATCTGTCATTAAAACTTTAATTTCTGATGATACATTTTGCCTAACAGCATGGCTAAGTTGTATCTTTAACGACACAGGAGTAACAAAATCTTTACTGCTGGATATCCAATATACTGTAGTACTGGTTGGCCATGTATTTGAACTGGCAGCATAATATGGACCAGAATTGCTTACATATGCAGCAATTTCAGCTATAAAACCACAAGGAAGAGCATCAGGTGGAACTTCAAGTGTAAGACCATATTCCTCCCAGTGTAACTGAGTGTGACTACCACCAGCTACTAATTGATTAATAGAAGCATCAATCTCTACACCTGGCAATGGAGCTAAATATTACATTATAATTTTACTGTTTTATTGGTTTAAATCTTACCAATAAATTGCTTTGAGTTGTAATTTGCAGTCAACACAAAAGAAATGAATAATAGATAAATTAGAATTAAGAATCTTGAAAATGGAGGATCTTGTTTTGAGTTTTTTATAGTGCATTACAATCTTAAATAATTTAGTAGCATACAGTTACAATACCATACTTTTCTGCTCCTCCTCTAAATTAAATTGTTGTCCAATGGATCTAGTCTCTTTGATGGATTGTTCCTCTAAGGATGTGACTCTCTCCTGTAGTTGTGACTTCTCCTTCATTAGTTTGGTTGTATACAATTCATTATCAGACACTTTAGCTCTAAGGTCTATAAATTAATAGAATATTAATAATTATTATTGATTGATGATGATACACTAACCAGTAATGATCTGTTTCTCATTCTGTAATTGTTCCTCTACTTTTGACGTCAGTTTGGCTATAACTTTGTCTTTTTCAGAAACTTCAGTTTTAAGATTCTGAACATCGTTTATGTATTGTTCCTCTGTATCACTAGCTACTTTGAGTTTCAGTTTCTCATAATCTTCTACATTAATAGAATACTCTCATCTAATATTATGAACTGATGATACACTAACCAGTAATAATCTGTTTCTTCTCCTCTACTTGTGTCTTCTCTTCCAATATTTTAGTTATATATGCTTCATTAAAAGCAACTTCAGTTCTAAGCTTCTCATAATCTTTTATTAATGAATAAAAACAATAATAAAAAATAAAACAATATTTGCTGCTCGAAGATTGCATTGCATGCACACAAGCCCATGTGCTATGACTAATGCTAATTATACTATAATACCATAATGGTGAGAGTAGGTAATAGTAAGTAAATTTAAGGTCACAGTTGCCTGTTATTGGCCTCGCCTACGCGAGGTATAGGTAGTTGTTGTGTGTGTCTGTCATTCATTCATTCATTCATTCTGTAAAACTGAAACTTGTTTTTAATAAACAATAACTTTAGCACAGCGTGTTCTAAGCTCCTAGATCTTTCTTTTTGACGTGGAAAAGTCTTTCTTAACTGTTTTGTGTTGCTCAAATACAAGTGCTAGGTACAGAAGCTTCAAAGTAAGAAAATCGAGTAGTTGGGCCAAGTTCCATTGTGTTGGCACTTTAGAGATAGCTGGTAGCATTTTTCAGTAGATTAGAACATGGCCTTCAAAAATTATGAACAGATTTCTCTAAATCTTACTTGATGAAGAGTTATACTTACTTGAAATTGTTGAGGTCACTCGTTTGTGCAGCGCTAGAGCAACAACTTGCTGGGTTATAGGTACTAAAGTACCTATATTATCTCAAATATACAAAGGCAGCAACTTTTTTTGTCAGCAAGTTTATCATATATTGCTGATTAGTAAAGAAAAAGTGAAGCTTCTTTCTCACATGGTCTTCTTGCTGCCACTCATTCCAGTCATGGAATGCCACACCTTTCAATCTACATGCATGGGAGGGGCTGGAGCTGCTTGCATGTATGTGCTGCAGTGCTGCTACTTCTGCAGGTATTCAAGAGCAAGTGCAACTGTAGGAAGCTAGTATTGAGCAGACTCTCTTCATGCTGATAATCAAACAGTTATTGAAGTGCAGGCATGCACCATAGCAGCTATAGGGGCGAGGCCATGCACCGTAGGTGTCTCGTACACAATGCTATTTCCATATCAACATTATGTAACACACCACCATTATAATATATGATGTAAACAATGCCCACAAAAAACAACAGTGCATGCACATTGAGATGATATAATACAAGATGATATATTTGTTGCTTAAACAAATTTGCACTGCATGTACAGTAGCCCATAACTATGATAATTGCTAATGATACCATATAAGGTAAGCAAAGGGCATTGAGTACAGGATACTATTTCTATACTCAACATTGTATAGTATCATATAATGTAAACAATATACACATAAACAAAAGTACAACACAATAGTACCTAATTTAAGAGTTGATTTATCCTTTTCTGCTTGCTCAAGGAGAGTGTTAGCATTATCAAGTTGCTGAGTAAGTACTGCCTTTTCTTGAAGAAGCTGTTGCTGATAGAATTCTTTCTTTCTTTTTGATTTCTTCTCTGTTTGCAAAGCTATATAGGCCAAAACCTTTGCAGCATTGACACTTACTTAGGTCATGAAAAGTTTGTACCACAGTCCACACTGGGAAAGAGACATAAGGTACCAGAACAACCTATTTAAGATAATCCATAGGGCATCGTGCATTTATTAATTTTAAAAACATGTTTGCAAGTGTTATTAAAGGCACACCTGACTCCACTGCAAGGGTCTATAGCCAGGGGGCAGTCGCTCCCCTTTTTGAAATTTACAATCAAAATAATTTGCTGCGTCGAACCTGATGAGGGTGAAGCCAGAGTGATTCTAAATAGCTATAATCCTGACAAAGGTGTGTAACCGGTTACACTAACCGTAAATAGTAATGATAGTGCATTGTGTACTAAAATAATGTGTTATCAAAGCAATGTATTGTGCAATTACTGAACCCTTATATACACAGGTCAGGTAAAATATTTGAGTGTGTTCTTGTTTTGCGAATTTCAATTAAGGGTTTGTGTTTTCAGTCAAACATATTAATCGTCACTCATTAAAAAGGCATAATATATAATGGTTAGCTTCAATGGCTTACTTCTCTTTTTTGCTTAATTTATGTTTTAGTGAAGTCGCTATTGTGTGCCAGTTTTGCTTGTATAGGAAAACTTGCATAGGCATGCATGCTAATTTCCTGTTGCATAAATTTTGACTCACCCAAGAAATCTGCTAAACTAAAACCCTCACAAAAATTTGTACCCATAGATATAAATTCATAATGTACATAAATTGATCTACAACCTAGCGTAGTATAACTAGAAATTTTAGTGGCTTAAAATTTCTGCTAATTTTGTGGATTTGGAAAATTGCAAAAATTTAATCCTCAAAATTTTGGTACATGCACAATAATAATTTTATTGGCCTATTTAAATTAAAAGGCATGATGAATTTACAAAATATAATCCGCAAAAGCCATTTTGATGACAATTTGCAAAATATTTGGGCCACAGAAATTTCTAGCTACACGGTATTTAAACTAGAATTTAAATTACATAAGGTCGTGTTGCTGAACTCCTCCACCTCTTTAATTGATGGTCTAGGATTAAAACAAGAAATAATGTAACAGTAATTAGAGCAAGTTAGAATGAGTCTAGATAGAAGAGTGAAAGAGAATAGCTCACATTTAGATGGCATTCTTGCCAGGCAAAAACAACGAAGTCTAGTCCGGCTAAACCTATAATCTGGGGTGAGACTAGTCTCGCTGGCCCCAAATCACTTGTAGGCAGTGGGGAATGGTCTGGCCAGGCTGAACCTTATATTAACAGCCAATCTGTTAAATTAATTAACTGTAGTCGGGCAGCCAAGCCTGATTAATGATTTCTTATTTCTAACCGGAAATGACGTTTTTCTCAAAATGGCTGACTTTTAGTGTGGTAGTGCCACTTGCCTATTTTGATTGTTTATGTCAAAACTAAGAAGTCTACAGTTACTTTGCTGTTCTCTGCACTTTTAGCATTGGATAAAGATGTAGCTAACTGATCTTCTACATTTATAATCAAGAACTGTTCGTGTTTCAGGCATAGGCGGTTCCAGGATTTTGGAAGCAGGTGGGCAAGGAAGAGAATAAAATGGCGCTCGAAGCGCCGCTATTTTGACCACGCCCACTTTTTCTCGCTGCGCGGAACTACATTTTTTCGTAATATTAGGGGCCTCGCAATATTTAATTTTTCAACTAGTGATGTTCGATACCTGAAAAAATGAATTCGGTTCGATTCCGAGTACTTTTTCTCTGAGTATCGATGGTATCGAGTACGATTCTGAGTACCAGATAAGGTCAAAGTCCAGAGGTGCTTCCAGCCAGTTACTGCTGCTAGAATTGACCAGGAACACTAAAAACAGGCTTCATTGTTCACTTCTTTACTTTTTTACCATCTCAAAGATTCAACCAACTATCCAGAAAGACTGAGAAAGTTCAGAGAGCAGCTGGAGAAGCATTATTTATTATTCTGGATGTTCATTTTTTTAATAAAAAATATTTACATTTTAATTTTAAAATTAACCAGTAGTTTGTTAACTATTATTGTAGTTAAGTGGGTGTGATTGTACTCGGAATCGAATGTTTCGATACTGGAATTGCTTTCGATACCGTTTCGATCCTGGGTAGTATCGAAGTATCGAGTATTTTGGTATCGGTATCGAACATCACTATTTTCAACCATTGTCATCCTCTGTGCATGTGCCGTGAGTGTGACTTCGTGA